TCAATTGTCTCTTGGTATATTTCACCGCCATGCTGATTTAATTAAGTAATAGTGGTGGATGAAAATTAGAGTATAATTCTGGTGTGATTATACTGACTTCTGTGATAAGTATTTGATTTAATTTAGTCGTTTCTTGACTATCACCATTAAAAAAAATTCTTTTCTTTCTCTAAATTATAGAGCGAAACTTAAACATCCATAACCTAGTTCATCAAGAATTAAGCTCTTTGTTCCTATTCTTCATCATTTTCTAGTCATGTGAAAGCCGATGTTATATACAATAAACAGATGGATTACACCTATATCATTAGTCAATGATTATATAAAGTCATATCCACTGTAGCCCAACTTTGGCCGATCACCACCGAATTAGATTAGAGAATATTAGCTTATACTCTATTTTACAAGTTCCCCGACCATCTTTGATCATGTAGGGACGAAGCATGTCAAACGGATATGTAGTGTTTTTCCTCACTTTACAACATAATCTTTGACCATAATTCATACTTTCTTCAATTATGTTAAAGGCCCACGAAAAAAAAAATGAAGAAAAGTATTGGCTAAGAGGCTTTCTCTTAATCCATGTGTTTAAGCTACATACATACATATATATATATATATATATATATTCATGTTGTTCTCTCCACTTACGAGGCCTTTAAGTTAACCTTTTGATGTTGTCCTCTTTTCTTTCTCTTTTTCTTCTTTTCCCTTCCTTTCGTCCTTTATCCTCACACCTAAGCACCTTAATTTAATCAGAAATATATGTATCATTGATAAATGGGGGCTGCAGTTTTTGGTCAGGCATCTTCTTTACCAAAAGTGAATAATCGTACTTCTAGATTTCAGAAACACAAACTAGCTACTGGAGATAGTCTTTACCAAAAAATAATAGGACAGAAGCTTGATCATGCAATAGAAATAAGTTCCCGCTTTATAATTATTGGCACTGAATCAAACTTGCTTCATTCTCAACAGAAGGGCTGGCAACTCTCATCGGCCACCAGGTCGAGCATAGGAGACTCCAAGAGAAGCTACGATTTAACGCAGAGGAGACTGCAGGCCATCATTTGCTTTCTTGTATGTACTTCTTGGAAATGTGACCACGTCTTATTGACAGCGTTTGAGAAATCCCAGATTGTTTAGATTTTTTACTGACTTGATCAATTTGCTAGGTTCGTGGGAGTTAATGGAATCTTGGGGATGTGTTTTTAGACAAGGAAAGAAAATGTTGTCAAAAAAACAGACGAGCTAACTGTTGTAGGAATGTAGAATCCTTTTTTTTTTTTTTTTCCTTTCTAAATGTGTTTTGGACAAGTGTACAACTAGTTGTTCTAGAGAAAAGAGACGGAGTCTTGAGAGTCGAGATCAGGCAGTCGAAATTTTGGAAGTGGAAGAACAAGTTTGATGGATACTAGCTAGCTCTCATTTACAAAAGTTGATGGAACATAAAAAATTAAGCAACCAGAAAAGTTTTTAGCAGCCATGCATGCATGCACACTAGGGAGAATCTCTATCTGTCTGATCAATCAGCTATGCTTTTAATTTTGTTTCAAAGTCATTTCACGTACTCTTCTTTTAAATATTTATCCAACTTCTTAATAGGTATGTGTTCCAAAAACAAAAGCAAATCCACCATTTAAAGGTGTTTGCACCACGTAAAAAAGAAGAAAAAGGTGAAAGCATCTCGTGTTAGTCTTTATCACTGGATTCTTTGGCACTGTAATGTGTATGGTGTACCATACACTGTTTTGGACTGTGACCTATTCAAACTTACAAAGCTATGCCAGGCTCTGCAGTCTCGTGGCTTGGAAAAAGGGCGGCCAAAATTAAGTCGAAACTAAAAATTATAGAGTACTAGTAGTATTTCTATTCCATTAATTCCTTCGGAATGTGAGGTGATGGATGGAACTCCGAATGCATCACTACTTATGCTTTTTATTTCTCTTTTCCTTTTGGTTTTTACTTAGAAGCAAGCAAGACTTGGTCTAAAGTTATTGAGATTCAACAAGTGGGACAATTTACCGGAAAGGGATAAAAGAAAAAGAGATTCAGAGGACAGGATCTTTAGTTGCATGCATGAAAGGGAGGCCTCATTGTCCCTGAATGAAACTTCGAATACTGATTTCGTCTTCTAGTTTGTCGTAGCAGGCTTTTGTTTTCCACAAGAAGTAAATTAAAGCTTAATCATGTATCAACGAAGAAAGCATAAGAGGATCCCTCTGCTGGAATTAGATCTATACTTGGCGCTGATGTGATGGAGATCAGATCACTAACCCCCCCCCCCCCCCGTTTTGTGGCGTCCTCGAGTCTGTAAACGACTCAACTCTCCCTTGTAACTCAACTATGATGCTTGCATATTCCAGAGTCTAAAATTATGAAGAGCAAAAGAGTAAGATCAGTGATCTATGTTGAATATGGTAAAACTGCCCTCAGTGTCAAAAGTTTTTGTACTGCTATATATCTTCCTGTAGTATATATAGTTTATACACAAATTAATCAAGTGACAGAAATCTTGAGGATTAATTCACAACACAAGAAGAATATATGAGCAGGTAATTTTAAAATAGCGGCCAAAAGTGACTACTGACTGAAGTAACAGTCAGGTTGGAATCAAACCCCACCACCTAATTTATAAGTAGAATTTCCAACTCCGCCATTGACTACTTCCTGTTGGTCAGCTGAACACATCAATGTTTTATGACTGAAATGTGATTCAACAGTAGCAAAATCTAACAGCCAACTTTGAAGTCAACTTGGAGTGCAAATTGAAATAGTCTACAAGGAAAGAACTAAATGGATTTCATTATTTCCAAAAAAAAAAAAAAAATGGTTTGGAAATCTCCCTCGCAAATAGTACTAGATTAATTTTGATTTATTTTCGAAAAAACATTGTGTCACACTTACATAAACGTTGTTTTAGCCACATAATCCTCCTCGTGGATGAGACTCCTCTCCTCCTTGGTATGATTCTAAGTGAAATATTTATAGGATTAACTTTTTATAAACGGACAGTATATTGATTTTTTTTTTTACACTTACAGCTTTGTATATATGCCATATGCGTATGACTTGAGTTTCAAATTTAAATTCATAGTATGTGGTATTGTTCTAAATTCGTTGCATGAAACATATCCAAAATTTGAATTTCAAATTCAATTTTACAATAGTTACTATAGTTATCATTCAATTCGAAATTGACAAAATACACACTGTCAGTATATAAAAAATTAATTTTTTTTGTAAACACAAATAATTTTGGACAAATGGTGTTTGGATTGTAAATTTTTTTAAATAATATTTTACTTGTATCAAAAACACATTTTTTTATATTCTTAACCATTTTTTTATTTCACATACATCATATCACAAAAAACATTATAATAATTAATTCAAATAATATTTCAAATAGGGAAAATGACCTGTTTCATCCCTCACATTTCGTAAAAATATTCTGTTCGTCCCTCACATTTAAAACGAAGCAAATTGGTCCTTCACATTTAAAAACCCAAGCTTTTACATCCTAAAAATAAACTCTTAGTTGTGAATCAAACCATCTAACAACCCGGTTACAAATTTTGAGGGTAGAATACTCGCAAGAACATATTTCCAACAAATAAATTAAACCAATTAAACAATCTTAATTAAAACCCATTTGTTTTTTCAAAAGAACGAAATAGTGCTAAAGCTCTCAAGCACTAAACCTTTAGTGCAACAAAACTGAGGAATATGTCTAAGGGTTTAGTGCTTGAGAGTTTTAGCATTATTTCGTTCTTTTGAAGAAGCAAATGGGTTTTAATTAAGATTTTTTAATTGTTTTAATTTATTTGTTGGAAATATATTTTTGCGAGTGATCTACCAATTCTATCCCCAAAATTTGTAACCGGGTTGTTAGATGGTTTGATTCACAATTGAGAGTTTATTTTTAGGATGTAAAAGCTTGGATTTTTAAATGTGAATGACCAATTTATTTCATTTTAAGTGTGAGGGACGAAAAAAATATTTTTACGAAATGAGAGAAATGAAATAGGTCATTTCCTCTTTCAAATAATACTCGATCCAAACAAAATTTTGAACCGTAACAAATTTGAAGATTTGATCGATCTTGGCTCCTTGTACTTAAACACTTCCACAGCGGGCTCCACTTCTAAAATCAAAATGGATTCATAATTCATTCTGGCCCAATTAATCACATTTCACTATCTTGCGCCTTACGCGTACGCTCGTAATCTTAGAACGCAGCTTCAGTGACACGTGTCCCCAGCATTTTGTTTTGACCCGGCGGAGCCACCGGAGCGAGAAATTTCGTTAAACAATTTTGACGCCGCAACAAAGCAAAAACATTAATTTATTAACAAATAACATACAAATTCATGCTGGAAACTTCAAAAATACTACAATGCTCCCTCATATTCTGTAAAAACCTATTTTGATACCTGTTGCCTGAAACGAGACAGATTGAACCTTAATTTTTTTTTTTGGTTGGTGACAAATACACTTGGTTAGATTTGATAGTTGATACTGATGTTTGGTCATCTTTAAACACCCAAATGCCAAATCTTTGATTCCAAATTAAAATTAAAATTAAAATTACGACTGCTTTGTTTTAAAATAGGAACTATGTGCAAAGAATTATTTGTGTTTTTTGGGACTGTGTTTGGCCATTTTATTAAATAAAAAGATTGTTAATAATATATTTAATTTTATTTCAAAAGGGAAGCATTATGTTAGACATTTTTCGTTCCAAATTATTTGTATATAGAAAAGTTATAATATGGTGTTAGAAATAATGGGGCAAAAAAGTGATTTACTACCAAGGTAGAGCTGTTTAAATAAACTTGGAAAAATTTGCTTGATTTGGACTTTAACGGGGCTGAATGCAGGTTAAATCAAAATGCGAAGGACTGTTTTAGCAAAATTTTCAAATTTCATTTACATTTGCATTTCATTTGGGCTCATTAGAGTTTCATTTCACATTCCACCATTTCTTCTCTCTCTCTCTCTCTCTCTCTCTCTTCTCCCACACCATCATCACATATACAGATAATACACAAACATACATACAGCTCGATAGATTAAAAAATATATGTTCTGATAAAATATAGATACACACATATATATAATCCTAGGCCAATATATTGGAAGAATTTTCTCTCTCTCTGCATTTTCGGGAGAGAAATTTCAGAAAACAGAAAATGATTTGGAAAATTGGGAAATTGGAGCCCTAGTTTTTTTTTTTTGGTCATTTTCTCTGCCAATCGAATTTGTAAGTGAATTCTGGTAGACAGTTAATCGGTAATTTCTTTTGTTTATTTGGTGGCCTGCATCATCGTTTAGCTAATTGTAATTCGCGTCGATCGACAAAGAAAACCTAGATCGGCGAAAACAAAGGGAAAAGAAAGGAAAAAAGAGTGGGGAAAAATGCCGTCGCATGCGGATCTGGATAGGCAGATAGAGCAATTGATGGAGTGCAAGCCGCTGACTGAGGCGGAGGTGAAGACGCTCTGCGATCAGGCGAGGGCGATTCTAGTGGAAGAATGGAATGTGCAGCCGGTAAAATGTCCGGTGACGGTCTGCGGCGATATTCACGGCCAGTTCTACGATCTCATCGAACTTTTCCGGATAGGAGGAAATGCTCCCGACACAAATTACCTATTCATGGGCGATTACGTTGGTAAGCAATTCATTTCCGGTTTAGGAAATTTATTAAAGTTAGGGATTTCTTTGATTTCACTGTACATATAAAGGTCGAATAGTTGGTGATCTATGATTATCTATTAGTTTTCTTGGTTTTTATGGGTTTTTATTTTATATGTTTGCTTTATATGTGATCAAGGGATGTGTTTGCTTTTAAAAGAAGTGGCATATTCAAAGATGTCTATATTGTTTGGATGGGTGTTTATAAATTATTGAATATTTCAGTTTAGGTAGATCTATGATTTGTTCTAGGAAGGAATTTATGTGGTATAAGGAGCTGAAGCCATTATGAGGGGTTCATTCCAAAATAACTTTTCTAGGTTTTGAAAATAAATTTCTTTGACTATGGATTTTGCTTCGCATTTATGGAAATTTGTATCCCTTGTTCGAGTGGCATTATTCATGTCAGTTGTTTGTAGTGGTTGATTACTGCTTATTGGAATTGTATTGCACGATATACAAGGTCTGAACAAAGGAACCAAATAAATGAAGAGACTATTTGGCTGACGTTTTCAATTTCCTCTGGAAGTTTTGGGGAAAAAAGGGGCTTGACATGGTGGCATGTAGTTGCACTGCTCAGCTGCCAAGTTTTTTTTGGTATTTGACTTGTAATAGGCAGCAATGAGTGGATTGTTGTGGGTTAATTTGGATTTGACATCACCAGCAAGCAACTTTGAGAAATGTAGGTGAAGAAGAATTATTGGATCCAGGACTTGAAAGTTTGATGACTTGTGAAGAAGGTGAAGTTGCTGTGTTAGTAAACGGATTTGCGCTTTAACAAGTTTGATCTGAGCTGCTATTTGATTTGGAGAGTTTGTTAGAAGAGTTGCTGGGAATGTCATTAGTCACTGTAATCTACTGGACTTTTACTTGCTTAACCTGGTTGAGGCATGATTGAGCTTTAGTGTCATAAAGCAAAGGTTTGCTTTGAGTTCGATGCATATGAGATTTGTTCACAGACAGTCTATTTGCTGACTAACTGCAATTACATGTTGAGGCATTGTTGATTAGATTGTTAAACTTTTCTATTCATGTTGCCAATGCTTCTCATATTTGTAATTCCTTGGAAGTTGGCTATGTTGGCTATTGTGGGATGATTTGCACATGTAAAGAACCTTAAGCTTCATGCTGTTCTGTTTGTTGGCTATTCATTTATTATATGTTATTGCTGTAAACTATTTGCATATTATTTCCAATTCCATCTGTTAACCAGTCTAATTTCAGCAGTGAATGGCAATCAGTGGTGTTCCTTTTCCTCTTTGATTAGTAGTAATCAGTCTTTGGGAGTATTTGGAAAGTGGAAGCATTGTTAGTTTGAAGAAAATGGATACTTAATTACCATAGGTGAATTCAAGATTTATTATGGTGCTTAAATGAATTCTGCAGATTTTGGGAATATGGATTACCAGTTGTACGTAATGCTCAGAAGTATTTGTTAGCATTTAAACATCCTGTTGGTTCTGCAATTTAATGTTGATTTTCCTCAAACATTGAAAAGATGGGGAAACTGCTTAGTGTTATTAGATTATTGCCAAATAGATGGAAGAAACATGAAAGATAATTTGTCTCTGGTTTTGAGGTGTCGCGCTCCTGTCATGATGGGAACTTTTCTGGCTGCTACTAGTCATTACTTCTATTTTGCCTTTATAATTTTGAGCCTTCTAAACAGATGGTTAATTGGTCTTATCTGCTTCTTGTCATTGAATACCTTCTATTTTTAGTTCGTATCTGCATTAGTAGAGATGATATTCATGTTTTCCTGTATAATATATCTCTGTCCATCTTAGAAATTATATGGCTTGATAACCATGCTCTAGACATGTTTTCCACCATTGATGCCTTTCTAATTGGATGAGTATCTTTTATGAGCTTGAAGTTGGTGCTTATAGAGCTTGTTCCTTGACAATCAATATTTCCTTGATATCAAACTTCAATATCCTGTTGATGACAATTCCATTTAATGCAGACCGTGGGTACTACTCAGTGGAGACTGTCACACTCTTAGTTGCTCTGAAAGTTCGTTATAGAGATAGAATCACAATTCTTAGAGGAAATCATGAAAGTCGGCAAATTACTCAAGTGTAAGGCTTTTGTACGCTCGGATGAGTACATTGTTGCTAAGAGTACAAATTCTGTGGTTAAATATGTCGATTCTTGTTGTTTCATGGGAAATACATGATTTAGGAATTCTGTATCATAAAGTTTGTATAATAAAGTTTAATTTAAAAGACTTGGACAATTTAGTATGGGAGTCGCCACATACTTTAGTGGATATGTCTTTAGTTCTCACCTGGACATGGCTCTGCACTTTTCTCCATTCTTCTGTGCTTCACAACAGAAGAAGCATTCTGGTATTTATTTCCATTATCTGTAAGTCTATATTATTTGTCTTTCTGCTTGGCAGCAGTAGGTGCATATTCCAGCTCGCATACTTGAATACATACTTATGTGGTTAACTGGTGAATGAAACAGGCATAAGGTGGTATGAAAGAAGGGTTAGGGAAGGAATAAAGCTAGAAAGGATGGAACCAACAAGGTTTCTGTTTGTTGCATTTTGTCAAATTAACTTCTGTAATGTTGTGGTTCTCTTTGCAATGCCAACTGATCTTTTAAGGCATAAGTTTTTAGTTTTTTTCTGTCCATACTAGTTTGGGATTATGCTGTTGAGAGTTGGTTATAGGTGAAAAGTATCATTGATGGTCAACCTTGGGGGACATGTGATATGTTTTTCCTGAATTTCATTTCCTTCAAAAGATTATTTTTATCCTCCCTTCAATTTGTCCGAAAGTTTTTTCTACACGATTGGACCGTTTGGATTAGCTCTTTTAAGGGGTGTTTTTGAAAAATTTTACTGTAACAAAGTTTTTATAGTATATTTTGGGATATTTTTGGAAAATATTTTGGGATATTTAAGAGTAAAAGAGTTTTTAGAATGTATTTTGGGATTTTTTTAAACATTAAAAAAAATTTAGACTACTTTTTAGAGTGCCTTTTAGAGTACTTTTTAAAAATTTTAATAGTATGTGAAAATCTAATTTTTTAAAAACTCTTGAATCCAAACAGCCATCCTGGTTTTCAATACCATAATCTTTGTAGTGCGAAAAGTTAGAATCATTCCTACAAATAATTTAAACTCATGTAAGGGTGGGGTTTGTGCGAGAGAATGTTAATGGAAGATGAATCATAAAGTTTAAGTCCCATATATCAAGATGTTTATCCTGGTGTCTTGCTTTAGCCTGGTTGAGTTATTTCTAGCCTATGCATCTTGCCTGTTCTTTTCTTCAGCAAGTTTCATATAGGGCCAGCAATTTTTATTTTCCATAAGTAGTGATGATCTCTGAAATTCCATCTAGTCGATTGTCATAATGTTCAGTCAAGCTTTGTGAGCCTCCTCTTATGACCTTTTTATTGTTGTGGATGCGACAAATGAACCTTTCTTTTGCTTAATTAGAAGCAAGGGACCATACTGATTCATTTCAGGCCTGCTTCAGTATTAACAAATTGTTTGTTCCTAATGTCAGGTATGGTTTTTATGATGAATGCTTAAGGAAGTATGGAAATGCCAATGTCTGGAAGTATTTTACTGATCTTTTTGATTACCTCCCCCTGACAGCACTTATTGAGAGTCAGGTTTGAGCAGTAGTATGTGAATATGTGTGCTTAATTAATCTCATTACCGCTTCCAATAGCAATATTACTCTATTGTAGATCTTCTGTTTGCATGGAGGGCTTTCACCATCACTTGATACGCTAGATAATATTCGAGCCTTGGACCGCATACAGGAGGTACATTAGTCTTAGCTTCAATTTCACGTACTTTAGCTGATGACCTTTTCTCTATATATATGACAAGTGGTTCCTTTGGCTTTATGTAAGGATTTTCGATCCCCTTCTGTTTTTGAATGTTCCCAAATCTACGTTTGGTTTCTCTCTCTTTCTTTGAGACGAACTCTCTTCTTTTACTTGTCTCGAATTTTGCTCAAAATTTTCTACCACTCCTAATGAGAATTTGGCTGGCAAATATGTTTGTGGTTGTATAGGTCCCACATGAAGGACCAATGTGCGACCTGTTATGGTCTGATCCTGATGATCGGTGTGGATGGGGCATATCACCTCGTGGGGCTGGCTACACTTTTGGACAGGATATTGCAGCTCAGTTCAACCACACCAATGGGCTTAGTCTGATTTCAAGAGCCCATCAGCTTGTCATGGAGGGCTATAACTGGTGTCAGGTTCGTTGACTGGGAAATGACCTCATTGCATCGTGCGTTACATAGTTTCTAATTATTCATTCTTGTTATTTTGTAGGAGAAGAATGTGGTGACTGTATTTAGTGCTCCAAACTATTGTTATCGGTGCGGAAATATGGCTGCAATCCTCGAAATTGGGGAGAACATGGAGCAAAATTTCCTTCAATTTGATCCAGCACCTCGTCAGATTGAACCTGACACCACAAGGAAAACCCCAGATTATTTTTTGTGAGCTTATTTTCCTGCCAGGTCTTTGTAGTCCTCGCTTGCTATTCTCTCTGTAGATGTGTCTAAAAAGAGGAGTTTTTGCTGTTTGAGGATTATTACTACCATCATTCTTTTTTTTGTGGCGTTGCTCTGCTGCTGACTTTGATTATGTGCTCGGGATTCTTGCCCAAGAATTGATGGGAGGCACCAAGTCTTTTGTCTTGTATATTTTTTTCCGGAATAGAAGGAAGCAGCAATAACATGACATGGTATATTGTGTTATGTAATGTCAGAATTTTTATTTTAGGACACAGGTCTCGGCACTATTCTGAGTCAGCGCTGCGTGTTTTGATGACTAATTATTTCAGCTAAATTTTCCGCGACGGATTAGAAACTTCAGTTTTTGTTCTTTTTTTTTTTTTGGCCCCAAATAGTTCTGCCGAGATCTGGTCATTTAAATCTTAAAAAGCATTCGGCGAATCTTGGTGTAGCACGACGGTGTGTGCGTTGCCATGCGCCATCTGTTTCTCAGCAGCGTAGCGGAGCATTTAACTGCTGAGCATTTTACTGCTGAGTTGATATGATACTACAAAGCTCCTATCTTGGGTAGATGTAGCCTTCACCATGCAGGTGATAAATGAACGTCTCTCGCTTTATCTGCACGAGGGATTTCTACATTGTACTGGTTATAAATGAGTGCCTTGCATATCCGCGCACAGGTTCAGAGAAAATATTACAGCAATGCCAACACTGGATTCTTTAAAAGGCATCTCGGATGGGATCCCCTTCCAAAACCAAGCGTTCTACACCTAAACTTTGAACACAGTTAATGTTAAATTACTGCGGCAACATTTTTTGCTAGCATAACTCGGAAGCAGCCACCTTGAAATGGCAATCAGATTACGGGTAAAGCAGGTAATTGGAGCGCAAATTACATGCAAAAAGGATTTGCAGAACCAAGAATAAAAGTGATACAGGAAAGGAGGGAAGCAGGTTTTCGGGAAAATTCCTCAACTAATTCCTCCTTTATGAATGATAGTGAGGGCCACGGAGCACTAATTTAAAACCTAGAATTATTAGGTACTCTGGCTTGTCCCCCTGGCACAGCGTTAGCTCTCTTCCTTCTGAAGTATATGGCTGAACCACTAATAAGCAGCAAACCGACCATAATCCCCTACATAGAGCAGATTTGAATACAGACATGAACAAGTGTGACCAAAGCACTAAAAGCTTGTTTATTCTGTTGTTCATCTAAGGAAAAAGCTGGCATATAATCACACGAAGTATTGGCATACAGAAGATCCGCATCTTTTTCATAAACCACAAAGGTACTAGTCTTCACACACAAGCCCATGTCCCCAAACTTTACTCCTAGTCAGTACTGTCTACCCAAGTAGCATCAAAAAGTTGAGTAACTAAAGTTTATTTTCTCTCTGTTCAATACAAGTTTTGTTAGTTTTTTTTTTTTTGTTCAAATACAATTTTTAATTATAGACTGAAGCACAATAATTCCAGGACTACACTCGCTGTGGACCCAGTCCCCTGAATGACAACCATGGTCCGTGCTCCGCCACTGAGCAAAAGTTTACCTGTTTATGCATGATGATGAATGCCTTACCTATACATCCAACCCACACCAGCCAGCAAGCAAAATGAAAAGAAAAGAGAGAATTTTGCATTAACGTATTCATCAAATGAGGTTGGATGATTATTCTATGAATATACTAGAAATCATTCATTTGTGGGTCACAATCTGCATCATGATGGTAGCAGCTTCGGTTACAATTAAATTTTATTCCTAAGCACCCTATTTTCTGTCAGGTATAACTCATTCCACACCCTTCCAGTCTGCAGTTTATTTGTTTCTACCAATAAAACTAGCAGGGTGCCATCCAAAATACAGGATAGTACAAAGAGAATCGTTTTTAACGTATAGGGGTCTTAATCAATCAAAAGTTCAATAGTTAGAAGGCATTGTGGAGTCAAAGAATCCGTGAGTTGAGATTTAACTTACCTCAAAACCCAGCACAGACAACTTTTCTTCATTTGCAGCAGGTATACAACTTCTGTAAGTAATATAAGCTTGTCTGCCATCATCTGATGTGGTCGACTCATCGAGTAAATGTCTCTGTGATGCCATTATAGTAAGCTTGTCTCCAGAATTCATATTGACAGGCTGCATAACCTTCATGCTTTCAAGAGCAGATCGACCTTTCTGCAATTTCTTGCCATTTGCCTCCTTTGAATCAGACCCAGTATCCACACATTTCAAGGGGATACGATATCCAGTTTCACTGCAGCGATACTTTTCATCATTCTACAGCAAACATGCCATTTCAAAACTAAGTCCAACTAACAGATTGTGGAAGAGGCATAAAAAAACAGAAACTGACAGAAAACAACATTTTTCCATTTTTCATTTCATCTTTGAATTTCTTATTGCATTTGATGATTAGAACTTACTGCAACTCAAGGTTAATACTATCAAATGAACATATGTTCAGCTAAGAATGACTTAGTACTTAATGTCTAGGGATCAATAAGGATAGCAGCAAACATCTAAGCAAATTTTGAAGCTTTTTGGATTTTATCGAGATCGACAATCATTTATCTGTTTCAAATTTCTGTAACAAGCCTCATAGTTATACAGTAGTGCTCCACAAAATATTATTCATTCTTGTGCACATCAGAAAAATTCACAGCAGCTTTAGAATAGATTATTTGGTCTTAAAGACGACATATGACATATTGCGATAATCAGACGAATGAAAGTTTATATCCTTTACTTTGCTTTCCACGTATGGAAATTGAAGCAAACCAACCATTACATGAAAACGGTCTAGCTTGTGAATGCATCCGAGGTTAAGTTCAGCATGCATGCTTTTTGTGCTTAAAAAGTGCAAATGCATACTCTAATTTGTCTTTAACTCAGCCTGCCACATAGAATAATGGTGCAGCAGACGCACCAAACAAGCTCTCATTGTAAAATGCATACAAAACACAAATTAGCATTTAAAGTTCACAGGTACTTGCTCAGCAGGTCCTAAATTAACTTCCCGGGAAAGAATACAATCAACAACCTCTCACTTAACTAGTCCTAAAGCTTGCACATTCCCGTCAATCAGCTCAAGAACTTGAAGTAATTCCATCAGTTCAATATTGTCAAAGAATTTTCGGCTATACACTTATTCCAATAGCACATTCTAAACACTCGAACAAATGGTCATGAATATCTGATCAAAATTACATTAAAAGGGGGCAAGAGAGTGTGAGCATACCTTTTCAGAGTAGGCACAGGGGACACAAGGACCTGAAGGTGAGCATTCATAGGTAATATTTCCACCATTAGGAGTCTCCTTAAAACCCATCAAAGCTCTTCTTCCAATGTTGAGATATCCTGAACCCACTTCTCCACTTTCTCCTGCTCTGTTCATACACCCCAGAAAACAAAAAACCAATACAGCAAGAATTTCACTAAAAGGAATCCAGACCCGACTTCCCCTTTTATTCTTTTTCCTCAAGTTCTACCTCAATAGTTCTCAAGAAAATAGCTTAACCAATTAAGCCAGAACCCAGAAAACATCCCCAACCCACTTCCCTCTTGGTCTTCCACTATTTTCAAATCAACAAATTAACCAAAAAAAAGTAAAGATACTAACTTTATCCCATAAAGCAAGAATCTTTAATCAGAGGAAGAAGTTTGCTCTTACCTTTGGACCTCAGCAGAGAGATCGGAGATTAAAGAGCAGAAGAAGAGGACGGCGGCAAACGGCCAATTCGTCGGAGCCAAACGGGATTTCATCTTGTTTAAACTCAAGAAAAAGTGGATCAAATTGAGATGGATCTCTATTCTATGTCTCTCCCCTGTGGAATGAATGTATCGACGATTATTTGTGTGAATACCATGCGACTGTTGAATTTCACCGACCTATGCATACCAAAAACCTCTCAATCGATGTTCTAGTTTACGCAATGAGTCGTGACATTGAAGAGCACGCTTTTTCTGGGTGGGGTACATTGCTTCAAACAAGCGATTACTTAAAAGCGTTACAGTTATGCAACTGACCTGCCGCGCCTTTCTCTCTCAAGGCGTGGATTTTTACAATGCCGCTGAGCTGCACCTCTCACTTTTTCTTTTTTCTTTTTTTCTTTTGTCGAAAGATAAGTAAAAGGTTTTGAATTGAAACCTTTCGCTTGTACTCTTTTTGATATTATCCAATTCAATCCACCCTTACGCCTTTTTTTTTTGAGAAATAGTTTTTCAGAATTCAACGACGAATAATATATGCTTCTTTAGAACCCTATGATGTACTTGATTATCAAAGATCATTTGTTGGATTTCGGCACATTTTTTGTGGTATTTGCAATTCTTAACATTTGTGAGTTAGTAGTTTGTTGATTGTATTATTCTCACTATTGTATAATCTTCTCCCAAAAAAAAAAAAAAAAAAAAAAAGAGCGGAGCACGATTATCTCTGTCAATGCATAATAAACAATTACATTAATTTAGATTTCCCACTAGCAAGTCGACCACATTGATATTTGTCAAATGCTAAATTCCCCTACTCAACTTTTAATAGGATTTAGACTGTTACACTTTGCTGGTTGTTCAGTGGATCATTTTCTTTACTTTTCTTTTAAATCCATCAAGAAATATGCCATGCATATTTATATTGGCCTTCAAATAACTCTCTGGTCTTTCATTTTTTTTTTTCCTTTTTGCGTTTTTTTGGATGACAAAGAATTCTCTGGTCTCTATAAGCTGCGTTACCCTGATGTAATATTTAGGAATTGATTGCTCGTACTAATGAAGATTCGGATCCACGTAGGCCCTCGCGATTCAGGTATTAACCATCACCTGAAATGACCAATATTTTTTTTAATCAAGTACCTGAAAATTCAACTAGCCGTACATAAAGCACTGACACTTGGAACTAACAGCTTTTCTGCTTCTTCTTTCTGGACTAATTAAATAAATTACCTGGATCTTCTTGCTACTTTAAAAAAAAATGCTACAATATTTTGATCACTACCTAATTAAGCAGTTGCTTATACCAGAAAATTATCACTTAACGATTCCTATAAATTGTTAGGTAAATTAACCATTCATGCCGACTCATAAACAAAAACTTTTCCTACAAGTATGTAGTGAGGTTACATGTAACATTACCCCTAATAAGCCTTAGACTAACAAGCCCAATGGAAGGATGCTTACAAGGTTGAAGTTGCTTAAATATTCCAAATCGCTTTTACACTATTGCTTGGTTGAGGAGAAGAATATTTCTTTTGACTTCTCTTTCATTGGATGCGTATATATATATATATATATATATATATCTTTTCCAGCAACAATACATTTGTATAATCTTCTCTATCCTAATCTAGGGGGAGGAGGAGCCTAAGGAGACTGTGGTAGAGGACTAATGAGTATACAGACCCAACTAAATTAAGAGAATGCTACGACACAACTCTTAAATTTTTTTCGCTGTAATTTCTACTGCCCAAGAAAGGACTTGAGCCCCTCCCTCCCTGACGGGCACTGAGCCATTGGCCCAGTGGTTTGCGCATATATACCCATTACCTTTCTAATATGCCAAGACCCAGTGAACATGCTCTGGTCTGGCAGTTGTCATGTACCATATCCAGAGAAGAGATGACCTAAATTAGGGCGAGGGGAAAAATCACAAAAAGTCTGTGGGAATCATTTATGCCCAAAAATCATAAAAGCGCCACATTTCTGGTACAAATAGGGTTTGGTGGCATAGGAATCTTACGAATATTGGCATAAAGAAAAATACTCCATACTGCTTTTTTACAAGTGGAAGCAACATATAGTAAGGGGACACCAACAAGCAGAAAGTTGATCCATTTTGCCTGTATGAGGCCACAAAGGAATCAGCCATAAATAAAACAGGAATTTCCCCAACTATTGAAAGTGACTTAACGTTATCTCACTCTCATCACAATATTAATTAATTAATTAATTATTACCCCCAAACCCTGTACAACAAGGAATTGTCTCTAATTAACCACCTAATAATCTAATGCTAAAAGCTAATCAAACCTAACCCTATCATATTATGTTACTCTAAAAAAGAAAAAAAAAAAGCTCTACTTTACAACACAGATTGCATTAGTTATAATAACATTACTACTTGTACGTACTACTAATTAGGCTTTTTCTCCATCAAGCAACACTGATGATGCTGTCTCCACTGCTATTGTCAAAACTACTTGGCATGGCCTGAAATGGTGATGTGTGCCTCGCCGGCGGTGACGATGATGACGGCGAGTGCTGCTCTGATGATGGTTGCGATGCTGCTGATGACGAAGGGGTTGATAGTTTTAATGATAAAGGCAAAGGGTCTGGGATGGTTGTCTTGTTTAAGTTGAGATCTGCCATTTTTGAGGATGGAGGGATCGGAGCAAGAGGGATTGGACGAATAAGCTTAGGAGTTGGGGATGATGTATTATTGGTACGGTTTAGCAGCAATTGATTGTTGGCTGGTCCTAATGTAAGGCTCTCTAACGATGATACACCCTTGACTGGGTTGACTGGTAACATTACAGGCGCAATATTTGTTGGATAGGTGGACATGGGAAATTTTTCCAGATTGTTGATTAGATTTTTCTGCTGTTGCATTGCTGGTTGAGGCACGGATTCTTCTTGTGCTCTGTCTTCCATTGCTGAGCCCAAAACCTGTCAATTCATTTCAGAAAGGATTTACTAGCTAGTTTAGAAAGACAATTGACAAGGGTATTTATTGGCTGAATAATAATAATCATCATCATAATAAACAAATAAAAGTGATTGGTTGAATACCGTATCAGTGGTGATGTCAAAGAGACTAGATCTCCGGCGCCTCCGGCTGTGATTGTTGCGGCGGAGGAAGTATTTCTGAGCATGGCTAGCAACCTGAGTAGGTGTACGTGTCTTGACAAAGTTTCTTGAAATTCCTCTCCAATCTCCTTTCCCCACTTTTTGCAATCCCAGCAAAAATAGCCTGTGCTCATCCTCAGTCCAGGGCACTCCTGCATACATATATTTATATATATATATACACACACACACACACACACCAATTCATCATCCAAAAACTCATACGGTTCCTACAATAAACTGAGTGCCCCTTCTCGCTATGTATCAAATTTAACAGATATATATATATATATATATATATATATATATATATATATATATATATATATATATATAAAAGAGTGATTTTAGAAGATATTACCTCGTTTTCGTTCCCGGTTTCTAGCAGAAGGATGGACAACATCATCGGAAGCATATCCGGCGTTAACATCATTATTATTCATGGAATCCTGAGGCTGCTCAAACTGAGCAAGATTGTTCATACTAGCACTTTTCCTGAATGATCCCTCCATCACTCTTACACCAAACAGCATGAACCCTTTATTACAACCATCAGCTGCAGCCGCCGCGGCCGGCCCGGCACCACTAACTTCCGGGCATGTTTGGCAGCAGTTCTGGCCATCATTTCCACACTGCAGAGAGCATGAGCTGGCCATTTTTCGCAGCCTCCCCAGCTAGCTATTCCCTTACTTGGTTAAGAAAATTAAGAAATAAAACGTACGGTTAGATGATATACTGCTATCAAGCTTGGTGCAAATGATCCTCAGCCGCCCATACAGGCAAAAAGAGAGAGAGAGAGGGAGAGAAAAAGAAGGGGAAAGTAGAAATGGACGCTTTCTTTTTCCTTTTTCTTTTTCTTTTTTTTTGGTTTTGGTTTTGGTTCTGTTCTCTCCTGAGAGAGAAAGAGAGAAAGAAAGACAATAAGAAAGGATGAATAAGAACGACTGGGATGGGATGCCGCTGTTGTTGATATTATTATACCATAGCATTCAAGCTAGGGTTTTCTTTGTTTATTACAGCAGCTTGTGCTTAATGACTTGTTCTTGGTACTGCGTCCTATTACTTAAAATATTCCAATGCTTCGCAGGGACATTGCAAATACCTACAACTCTAAATCTCGTACGTCGACCATCAAAAATGAGCCCAGGAATCAAAGAAAGTCACAAAAATCGAAGCCGTCAACTTCAAAGAATCAAAGTCGTCGTGGTTCACTGGAAATAGAGAGTAGCGTCATTATTATCACTAAAACCACGTGTCTCCATAATTTCTCCTCCGAGTCCGTCCTATGGTTCCTTCTAGCGGGGGTAAAGGCGTTTTATTGAGTACTGGAAATTGACGTGATTAATTAACGATTGTTAGACACTTGACTTTCTTGCCAAAAAAGAAGGGTCGAATTTAAACTTTTAAATTAGTTGATGAAGAAGAGTATTTTGAACCGATGGATGAGAGTAGTAGTATGAGTTAGGTGACAGGGGAGAATTAATGCTCGCCCCATTAGTATACTAAATGCTTAAGAATCATTAAGAAAGAAATATGAAAGAAGGAATGGCAGAGGAGACTGAGAGAGAGAGAGAGACCGGATTCAAAAAAAAACATGGAAAGAAAAAGGGATGGTGGAGGTGGAGGGGCAGTTCTCCACCGTCAAATTGGCATATTCGGGGGGGGGCTGTGTTTCTTTTGGAAAAAGATATGATGGTTGTCTCTATTACTAATATTTTGCTTTCGTCCTGCCATTGGCTTTGTATAGTCAGTCACCTTTGGTGGTGGTGGTGGTGGTGGTGGTGGTCTGGTGGTGGTGGACGACTGGTGGGTGTGATTTGTGAATTGTGAGGATAAGGGGCATTAAGACCCCACTTATCATCCCTCCACCCCAACTCCTTTTCATCAACCTTTTCGAGTGGCTGTAGTGGAAGTTCCTGTTTCTTCTTCTTCTTCTTCTCCTCTCTATTTTTTTTTTTTTTTTATGAAATAATTCATATTTAATTACACCCCTTCAGATGATTTTGTATTATATATTCACAGGTCTGCTCAGATCAATTTTTCCAGTGTCTTGCCTTTTTCCTTTTGTAGCCGACATACATGCGCGTGAGCCCTCCCTCGTGGTCATCTGACTTTGTATTTTATTTCTAGTAACCTTCTTCTTAAGTTGTCATTGCTTATTGGATCGACCAATAATTAGCACTTGGGATTCTCGGTGACATGTTTTCTATGCCAACCCAATGCCACCTATAATATTGTGTCAAGTGTCCTGTTATTATTTACACTTGTGTTAAACCAAACCAAGTTGAATTATTAGAAAATTAAAGTGTAAATAATAACGGACCACTTGGCGCAATACTATAGGTGGCATTGGATTGGCATAGAAAAACATGTTATCGAGGATCCCAAGTGAATAATTAGTAGTACTACTATGACATATATATACATACATATATATATATTTTTTTTCTTAAAAAAAAAAGAGTGAAGTATTTTATTTGTCAGAGAGAGAGAGAGAGAGAGGGTGGAGCTGTATGTATTTATTTTGTGGAGGAGGAGGAGGAGGAGAAGAGAACTAGAGAAGTGGATGGATAGCACGTTTTTCTTATCCTTATTAATTTCCCCTCTCCATCCATCCCTTTCATTCAATTCAATTGTCCTTTTTTTTTTTTTAAAACTTGCGTGGGCGTCCTGCTGTGCCATTGTCTCGTCGCCCTGTTCAGTACGGACCAATAACATACAAAAGGGTGAATATATGCAGTCTTTTTCTCCACAACCCTTCTGCAGATTATTGACCTACAAAAAATCAATCGATATCCCGTAAGAAACAAACATTACACACCCCATCTTATCCCTTTACGGTGGTGCTCCCTGTTCAATTTCCATGGTACAATAATGTTTTTGGGGTTATTATGTGCGTGGCTGCCCACAGGATCATTTCGATCGATGAACGGTCCTGAATTAGGACAGCAGATTTCCAGCATAAGCACGTGATGGGATGGGATGGGATGCATAAAATTACTCTGCCACTGTCTACTGATTTTTATACTACTTGAAAGCCAATCAAAAACCTTCAAAACTTTTGAAAGCCTTCAAAAGTTGCCGGCTTTTGAAGGTTTCTCGCAGGTCAACTTTAGTAACGAAAAAGTCTGAGTTTCTCAGTCATCGGAAAAAAGAAAGCCAATCAAAAACGCAAACTCGACCTAATTCTGTCCATCCCCAGTTCATAAGCTATGGTGTGGAACCGTTTCTTGACTTGAGAATCATGGATGGACTTGAAAGCAAAACACTACTGATTATAAATAACTTCATAATCACAAAATCAGACTATAATAATAAAAGGATCGGAACACAATTGCGCTGCCAAACTGCTTGCTACGGTAGTATCAAGTATGCTTTCCGATTCCATCATCATAGGTTAATAATTGTTAGTATGCGTGCGTGTTTACATATAGTAAGATGTGCGTTTGATTAAATTAAAGTCTGAAAACTGAACTGCATTCATTAAATTATTGGATTGTTAAGTGTTAAATCAAACATATTTGATTGTACGTCGCATGCATTCAATGATAAATGAATAACTTATCACTTTATTTCTGGGAGCAAGTTTTACCTAGAAAATTCATTACCACTTAATTAATTCAGATGTTCGATTTTTTTATTATCAAACGTGTATGAATATATTAAGTTTAAATGCTGAATTAAATTATCAAACAAGACCTAAGTGTTTTGACAAGTGCTTCTTACGTTATCGTTCGAAAAACTCCTATAATTATATATAGTATTTATCATAATCTTATTATTATGAATTTATTACAATTTTTGTGGGTAAAAAAGCCCCACATCCAATGATTATCTTGCACTGGCATTACATCTCACAATTGAGGTGATTGAACGTTACTAAGAGATTGTTGATCAAATTGCACTTTGGCCTTTGCAATGTTTGAAGTCAGGAGAAAAAAAACTTCGATTAAAATGAAAACACAAAATAAATAGTTTCATTTCCTTCCTATTTTCACCTTCCCTTCCCACGTTATTTCAGACAATTGATGAAAAGTCAAAGTAATCCAAACATCATACGTGTCCTTGCAAATTTACCGTTTTAAGTTCTTCAATTGTGTTCCAAGGGCAAAAGTGGTCATAACAAAGAGAACCATCCTGCAAAATTTTGTCCTTTCCATTTCTCCCACCCCAGACTTGGAAAGGAAAAAAGGGACAAAGAACAGATAGATAGAGATAGTGAGAAAATGTATAACCATCAATTTTTTTCTTTCTTTTATTTTTATAATCTTTTTTCTTTTCCCATATCTTTGCTTCCAAACTGGCCATGGCCATGAGAAAAGATTGAACCAAAAAAAAAATAAAAATCATTCATTGGGCTTAAGCTCTATAATTTTAAGACGGCTTAAACTCTTTGGTTTGGAGATAAATTGGGCTCCAGACCCCTTTTCTTCCCCATGCAACTTCCCTGTCAATTTTTTGAAATCATTTTTCATTTTTCCCCTCCTCCATTTCTAGAATCAGGAGTATATGTAACTTTTCCCCTTCCATCTTCCCTTTTCACTCTGAAATTCTCAATGTACAAAAGATTACATAGACGTAGAAAGAGAATTTGAAAAAACTTTTTGTTCTATTGTATATATAACCCATTTTGTGTAAGCGCGTTAGAATCCCTTGCTTCTAATTGTCCTCCTTATCTTCTGGTGAATTTTGAAGCAGTAGTGAAGATATATATTTTTCCCCATTTTCATACGGAATTAAGGTTCAATTTGGAAGCACAAAGATCAAAACTTGGCAACTGAAGCACACGGGCTCTGTTATATTCAACTATATTTCATCCTTCAATTTCTAGTTTTATGATTATTGTTACCATGGTTGTTTCTTTTCCTACCTCCTCTATCCACTCTGCAATTCTCAAAACAATAAAAGAAACTATTCTAACTTTTGCAGGCAAGAAAATAGATTACACATACAGCTTTATCAGCAGTTCCGGCTCCTTTTATCACTTTCCAATGAATCTTGAATAAGTAATGAAGATTTCATTTTTTTCGTTTTTTATGTAAATTGAGGGTTCAAATTTAGAGTAAAAAGATCCTTAGTAAAAGCGCAAGAGTTTTCCATTATTTGAATACTCCTTATCCTGTGATTTCTGGGTATAGTGATTATTGTTAATGTTGTGGTTGCCCTGTCTGTTGATGATTGTTGTTGGAAATTTGGGTGAGGTGTGCTAGCGGTTGGTTTGTTGAGATGTGGAAGAGAAGGAGATTTTTCTTGCATTGAGGCCTTACAAATTACATAAAAAGACATGTATAACTTTGTTTTCTGTAAATTTTTAGGAGATGTTAGGTTAAGATCGTTACAAAAAAAAAATGATTTTTAGGAGATGCAAGGGTTTTCTATAAATGATGCAAGGTTGAGATCGTTACAAAAAGGGCAAAAAAATCTCAGCAGTCATTAAATTATTGTCAGGATCATGTTTGGGCCATCGAACTATTTTTTGTCAATAATTGATCATTAAATAACTTAATCAGTAGACTGGTGATCATTTCGTCGGCAATGGCTCTTAATTTCTGAAATTAGCATGACACGTGGCAAAGCACATGAGCAAATTTGTCAAATAATTTATTGTCATAACTTTGGATTTTGACCAGAAACACTCTGTCAAATTTCTAATTCCAACATCCATCTTGGGAAATCAAATTAATTTCAATTCTCAAGTAAAGATGGTGCAGATACTACTAGTAATTAATGGGGAAGTTGCACGGGAACAACCTCGGATCCGTGGTGCTGGACTACCCGACTCTTGGCGGAGTGCGTCAGTTTAAGATTTGGTCTGTCTCATTCCGCCGCATTATACTAGACACAGTTCGGTGCAAGACACGGCAGCATCATAAGCACAACAACACTGGCAAATTAACCATCCAAGAGCCCGAGCCCGAGCCCGACATTGATCTCACTGCAGTCACAACACTGATATCTGAGTTGAGTAAAGGTAGTACTAGCGATGGTAGGGGTGGGACTAAGTATCCAACAAACACACCGCCCTCCGGATCAGACAAGTTATCAGACCTTCTGAAGTTATCGGAAAAGAAAAACAAACTGGACGAGAAGAAGGCAGAGGAGGTGAAAAGAAAAGTGGAGGCACTGGAGGAATTGAAGACAATGGTGAAGAATCTCCAAAGTAGCAGTAGCGGTGGCAGTAGCCAACAACTCAAGGAAAATGAAAACTGATGCGGCTGCCAAAAACAAGATCTAAATTGAGCTGCGACGGGCTGAGAGAGTTGAGAGGGAGCGAGCTGGCGAGCTGAGCTGGTGAGCTGCCAAGGACGCAACTCGAGTTGAGCTGCTACGAACAGAGCTAGCT